TATACACACAAGCACACACACACACACACACACATATATATATATATAGACACACACACACACACATACACACACACACACACAAACACACACATACATACACACACACAAACACACACACAAACACATACACACACACACATACACAAACACACACATACATACACAAACACACACACATACACAAACACACATACACACACACACACACACACACACATACACAGACATACACATAAGCACACACATACACACACACACACGCACATGTACACTTGTCCTGATCGTTTGGCACACCTGACGCTAATGACAGATTCTTGGGCATATGCGGGTAGTAAACACACATATACATACATACACACGTGCGCACAGGTACACACATATACACATACACATACACACACAGACAAACAGACACACATACACACACACATGTCACAACGACAACACATGTCAGATAGAACTTCGTAATTCAGAGGTAGCGAAGTGCCGAGGATTACATTAGCTACAAGAGAGTAACACACAATGAACAGATGGAAGAGAGATGAGGGCGATAGAAATTTGATAGGAAGAGGAGAAACAAACCACATCAGAGCACTCGTCAACTACCCCACGAAAGTAGGGTGGACACCAGACACACAGGGAGAAAAGCAAGAACAGACTGCCATTCCCTAGTTGCAAGCGACGTATAAAACTATTAAAACCTTACTAAAACTTACTAAGACTTAAAGAAACTATTCACCAACCTCATTGGCGTATTTCGCAAAATATGTCAGCGCACAGAATGATTTTTAAGTACCATACCATAGAGTTGCCGTAGGTTATATGCCACTAAATGCTATTAAAGTATAATAAAGTTGTTCCCGCATCCGATCCGGACATTGGGGAATGCCTTGTTAGTGAGACAACTTCCTGAACCTTACTTGTCCTTACTTGTCCCGCGCTCATATGACCTTAGCAGTTGCGAGCGCCGTAAAACCCTATACTACTACTTACTTGTCCACTGTGTTGGGGTCACTGCAGTCGGAACATATCCATCTCTGCTCTCCCCCCCC